CAGGGACACCGGAAGATCGATAATTGGGGGGCGGGCCAGATATTCATATATTCGTGTTCACAGACTGTAAAAACAATCGATTTCAAAAGAAATTAATTGGGCAGAACAGGAATATATGAATATCTGCCCCCCCCCCCAATTATCGATCTTCCGGCGTCCCTGTACACACCATACCATGCACCATACCATACACCATAGTACCATACCATAGTACCATACCATACCATACCATATCAACAGTTTACATTCATCACTTACATATATTTTTTCACTGAAAGGATTCCATTTCTTCCATAATAACCACCACCCAGACAGATGGTCACCATAATTGGTTAACTCCGCTGGATATTCTGAGCCCACGTCAACAGCAATAATAGTATTCGCTCCTTTTGACTTCATTACATCCGCTAGAAATAGAAACACCGTAGCCATTATACATATAGTCGAGTGATATGTTACTTCTATGGATGTTTTCTTTTGAATGTGTGAAATGCTGGAACTAAATTACGGAGTGTCCTAAAAAAACCCTGTTTAATTTAAATTTATAGCAGGAAAACTAGAAAAGCTGACACGATCAAATAAATTTTATCGTACTCAGAAAGGGCTAAATATCAACAAAATTGTAAAGACTCGCGACTAAAGGCTTGCAAGGCCACAAAATTGAAAATTTAATAAGGAGAATTTGAAATTTAAGTTGGCTTCAATGAAATACCCAATAAGCGCAGTGAATGGCAACTGTACTGAAATTAGTTTAATTAATAACCCATTTTATGCAATTTTTTAGCATCGTTAAAAATGCTTGTTCGATTTAAAATATCCCAGTTAATATTGCATAAAAATCTTGTTGTATCAAACATTGCCAAATACGGCGCTAAGTTACCATCGTCAAGGTCGAGTCATGGGGTAAAGATAAGAAAATGGCGAGTAATAGTCATTGTAATCCTTTAGTGAACAATACACAAGTATTGAACAAATAAGAGAAGGATTAGCCGTTATGCATGATGAACATGTTTTGAATCACTCAAGCAAGAACTCGTCAGAAATAATACAAAGCAAGCAAATAAAAAATGTAAACGTTAACAGCACCTCCAGTCATGTAATTATTGTACATGACACAACCTCCTCGGCTATGGAAACAATACCCAATCAAGACAAACAATGTGACTACAATGTCCATTGCTCGTTTGGTAATAGCGATCGACCTTTAACAGAGATCATCGAATTGTGTGAAGATGTAATTAGTATTGATCCAGATAATAGTTTAAACAAAACTGTGCAGGAAAACTGTTCATTACTTAAAACCCCAACAGAAGACCAACAAAGTGTTACATTAAAATCAACCCACTGTAATGAAGCAGGGGAACCAGGGTGTGAAATTAATACTATTACTAATCTGGCGAATGGCGAATGTCTTGCTCCTGAAACATACCAATCGAACGAAGAATTGTCCCATTCCATGCCAGCGAAAACAGTTACAGTGAAAATACAAAAAGTGTCCCACTTCCGCTTCTGTAGTTTGTTGTGATTTACTGTAATTTGTTCTGTTTTTCTGTAGCGATTACCGATTTATCGGCAAATACTGCGATAAAATTTAAATTTCGTACCTTTTATGCAATGAAACTAAACGAAAAATGTATTATTTCCCTTTGCTACAAATGATCATATTTAAAAAGTAGAGAAAACGAAGTTTTATCGCGGTATTTGCCGATAAATCGGTAATCGCTACAGAAAAACAGAACAAATTACAGTAAATCACAACAAACTACAGAAGCGGGAAGTGGGACACTTTTTGTATTTTCACTGTAATTAGTCGCTGGGCAGAGCCTGCAGCGACTCTAGGTTTCGGCACGCATTTGTGTCGGATCTTGGATCGTTAGCCACAAAATGACAATTACGTCATTAATAAGAAATAAAAATTACGTCATTACTATTCGTCGCTGAATTCAAGATGGCCGCTTATACGAGCGAATGGTATTATCGATTTTGTACATATTTTTTTTATTTTTCCGATGAACCTTAAAAGTTTTCCGATGAAACAGACTTTATAAAGCGAAAGTCATTTTATGTGAGTAAACTTGAAACTCAATTTAGTAATAAGTACATTATACATTTTATACATTAAGGTTACAGAACACCTTTGAGTGTTAATTTTGCCTAATTTTTTTTTACAGGTTTCCATGATAGCATTAGACTAGTTCTACTACCTGACGAAGTTTGAACGAAAAATGTTGAAAAATCGCAGAGTTATTTAATAAAATACATTTCGCTGCAATAAGAAAAACATTGAAAATGTAATATTCAAATTCAATTTTCTCCCGAAGAATTTTGCGGGTTTCAGCCAATGTTTCTCAAATTTTCACAGGACAAACCTAAAGTCGTCAGTTTCAAAATTGTGTTCGGCCTTGTTCTAATTTTGGATATTTTAATAATAAAGAGCAATTCACTCAACTGAACAATTCAGAAATATATTGCAGTCGTCAAAGAAATCGCCATATCAGCGGAATGACGAAATAAACAAAAAATTCCGAACATTATTTTTTAGAACAACTATTTTACTGTTTAAAAATGATATTTTCATAAATATAACTTAAAACCAGCGGGAGCACAACTTGAAAGCGTAATGGTACTGCGATTTAAGATTTTCCTGAATAATTCTTACATTATTTTATTGTTTGTTAATTTTATAACTTTACCATATTTTGCATGTGCTGGCAAACATTTGGTGAAAATTTGATGAAAATCGGACTGATTTTGAGCGCGCAGTAGTGATTCTCCGCAAACGCCAAAAAGGGTGTCATATATTAAACCTTAATGACTTTAGCCCACCTATTGCGCATGTTTCCCCCATGCTGTTACGACTTTGTCCAAATCCAGCAAATCAACAACATCTCTGTTTAACGAAATGCATAAAAGATCACTTAATCTTTCTGGACGAATGGTTGATCGCAGCTTCGTGCAGATACGATTCATGCCGGAAAATGCTCTTTCCACTGAAGCGGTTGATGTCGAGATGGTGTTCTTAACTGCAATTAAAGAGGTCGAGTTTGCAAGTCTCTTTGGATTTGTTGGTAGAACAAGACGGTAATCAACTTCAGCTCTTTCGATTTCTAGTTCGAGGATAGATATATCAATCATTGAGACCGTTGAAAGTATTCAGTAGCGTATCTAGCTCACAGCAAGTAGGTATCTGAACCTGCATTAAGAGCATTGATAGCATTAAGGATGTCTTTGTTCTTAGAGTCAAATCTGACATTAAACTCGTCGTTGAGTTTCTTCTTCTGCTCTACGTTGAGTTCTCCAATAAATTATTTTATCTGATGACCCTGATCATCGGGAGTCGTAAGTCGTAACTGCATGTTGTAGCTCTAGTGTTGTGGATAGGCATTGTGTCGCAGAGAGCTAAGTAAGGAGTTTCCACTCTTTCTTGAAATTTCTTTCGACTCAATTAATATGTCCTCGTCTTTGATGTTGTTAATTGAATCCAGAGTTCGAGTCAGCTCGTATTGAATGTCCGTCTTGAATGAACGTTTTTTATTAAATTTTTATTATTTTTATTAAAAAATCTATATCTATTTATCTGATATTCGGACCTTTGCCTTCCATTTCTCGTAGCAATTTTTATGAACTTCTGATTTCTGGTGTTTCATAAAACAACAGAAAGTCGAAAGACGAAGCACAAAGTTTTCATATTTTGTTGTCGCTTTCCCTCCGGTTTTCTTTCTTTATTTGATATTTTCTACATGCCTAATTAATACACTTTTAAAAGCTGGTCAGAACCTCACCAACGATCTGGAATTTGACTTTGTTCGTCTTCTGCCACTGTTCTCCGGCGGTTTCGATTCAGCCGTTTCACACGCCAAAATTAGACTTGCGCTCGTAGCTTAGATTATACTTAGCCTTTTCACTGAATTTTTAGGCTTAGTCTCTGAGGCTTAGTATTCTACCTTGTTTTTTTCACCAAAGCAGTTTAGTTTAGTCGTAGCTTTTTATCTGGTCTTTTTACTAAAATTGAATATGCGTTTGGATATTTAATCTTTAGACGTTTTTACGTAGTATATCTAGTTTTATAAATACTTGTCTTAGTATAATATATGATATAATTTCATTTGTTGAAGTTATCAGTAAGTTGTACTCTTACTGCTAAATGTATCAGTTTCTTAAATAAAGGCTATAATAATAATAACCTACAGTATGCATGCCATTTTCGAATTTTTCTGAGGGGGTGCTAGAAAATTTTTGGGGGGGGGGGGTGCGCACCCCCCTGCACCCCCCAGAAAATCCGCCCCTGGTTATTATTATTATTTAATATGTAATTCCTGGCCATTCGATGAAAATTGGAATATTTAGTTTTGAGATATTGGTGGAAAAGTTGGCCGTTATTGTCATATTTTAAATTAGCTTTGATAATCTAATGTATCAATTAATTCCAGCAGTTCCCACCCCTGGGCCTTTGCAGCTTTTCCCAATCACGG